ACGTGAACGCATGGGCACAGTAAGGCTATCTAGATGCTGGGTGAGATCAACTGTGACAAATAATGGTTCCCACTAGGCTGCACAATGTGACGTGTGATTTGCGTCTAGACCCTCTAACTAGCTACATATTCTACACAGCAGGACCGTTTCAAGGTAGTATGTCTGTGTAATCGTGCGTTCAAATAAATTCATATTTTTCACAATACAGCACTCTGTCAACATACGCATGAACGCGCACAATGTAAAAACCCTATCCCTACGTTAAAAGTGAATGAGATTAGACTGTGCATACACACTCGTGAGGACATACAGTGAAGAACAACTATAAAGTGGTGCGCGTTTTCATTGTTATCGAACATTGAAATCTAATGAATTGGCGATTATCGCGATTCGAGTGTGCATTGATGGAAGTACTCCAAGTAGAGCACTTGAGATTTTCTGAATAGGGATGGCCTACAATATTTGCGTTATCGCGTGCTCCTTGGCAGTTACCCATTTGTCACGCAAAATGAAGTGTCTTCCTTTGTTGGTTTAAGAGAACTACAATGCGATTAGTAATCGTAATTTCTCAGCGCAATACAGTACCAGTAGTACGCGTTCACTGATGATATTACACATATGCTCGAACCCCGCATAAATAAGTCAATTTGATCCACAGTGGTTGGCTCTCACGGCAATTAATGAGACCGCGATGCAACGTTCGCCATTTTATTTGGCGCACTGACATCACGCGCTTCTCGTGGACAGTTGACAAAAGTGAGGTTTGTAGTTCCATGGCGCATGCGCACATTCAATAAATGTGACGCGGCACTAATAAATAATCGTGGTGATATATAGTTATGATCACAGCTTGATTATATTCGGACCATTACTAAATATGACGGTTTTTGAGTAATGAATCAACGCTGCTTGAAAAAAAACAGCTGAATATGCATTGAGCCAAGGAACCGACTCTCTGGATTTATTTGCTGTACATCTGAATCTCATAACCGTAAAATGAATACCTATATATTTGTTAATGATCTCTATGTGCGGTGCGAGCTTGTTGATTTATTTATCCGAATACTTTGCGCCTGCCCATTCAAATACCAACGTAATTCCATCGATGTTTGATAAAATCTACAGGAGAATCATTCGAAATGTGCGCACTTTAAAGCGGGAGGGTCGTTACCTGCGCATGAGCGGGAATTGAGTCCTAAGCGATGACAACACACGCTAAGAACGCAAAGGCTCATGGATAGAAGCTTGTTTGTAAACAATGACACGCTATGGTCTCTGCGAATAGTTCACGGTGCAATCAGCAGCGTTGGGCCACTTCTCG